GAGAGAGAGAGAGAGAGAGAGAGAGAGAGAGAGAGAGAGAGAGAGAGAGAGAGAGAGAACCTGAAAAGAGTATGGTAGGGCAACTGTATCCCTGATTGTGTGAACTGGATATTTGGAAATATACAGATACCCTAGAGAGCATACTGAGAAAAGTGGGAACATAAAGTCACTTAGCTCTGGGATCTTACACATCAATTTTCTACAGAAGTGTAATAATAACAATAATTTTGTTTTGGTCTTTTTGAGACAGGGCTTTACTATGCAGTTCAGGCTAGACTTGAACTCATAGCAGTCCTCCTGCCTCAGCCTCCTGAGGGCTGGGATTACAAGCATGCACCACCACACCCAACCTCATTATTGGTTTTTAAAGACAAAGTCTTGCTAAGTAGCCCAAGCTACTCATACTCATTGTGTAGTCCAGTCTGGCTTTACACCTATGATCCTCCCGCTTTAGCCTCCCAAGTACTAGGATGACAAGCGTATGTAACCATAAACTAAATATAATTATTGTTAATAAGGATAGTTCTTGTTTTTAACATTATACCAGAATGCTTCTGCCCCCAGGGCAGCCTCAGATCCCTGTATTATGGGAGGGGCAGATCTATCAGGAGCTTGAGTAGAGAATGTGGAGAAGGAGGGATGACATCCTAGGGGCTCAGAACACGGTGTTGCTGTTGTGTGATGTGCTGAAGAGGAATCAGCTCAGGACACACTGTGTGATCAGACAAGACCTAGATCAATATCACCTTTTGAGCCTTCTAGGAAGAGTCCTGCTAAACATAGTGCTCACACATTTATTGTCTTCTACATTCTACATATACTGCTGTAGTATGTCTGACTGGATCTCTGTCTCTGTGAAGGAATGCCACAAGCTCAGAGTCTAACTCACTAGGGTTCCCGTCACCTCAAGCACAAGGGCAGTTTATCATTGGCTCCTTTTAAAAACCGCACTAGCGAGTGTGAGGGCAGCATAGAGTGTTTAGCTGGACTAGCAGGTAGTTCTTCTGACAGTATGTGGTGCTCTGCTTGGCTTGCTGGTGTATGATTTAGTCCTATTTCTTGAAGAATTTTTAGTAGAAGAGGTACACACTGTAGTTTTCCCTGTCTTTCTCCACTCAGAGTCTTTGGAGCCTACAGCATGGACGTGATCACTGGCACGTCATTTGGGGTGAATGTTGATTCCCTCAACAACCCACAAGATCCCTTTGTGGAAAAAGCCAGGAAGCTCTTAAGATTTAATTTCATGGATCCATTTCTTCTCTCAATAGGTATGTAGACTATTCCCTCTTCAACTTCCTGCCTGCCTGTTTTTATTGTAACAGTTTATTGAGATATAAT